CTACCTCTTACTCTAACTGTAGCTACAACTAAATAATGATCCGATATATCAGTTGCCCCTCTATAAACATGTACATCCTGGAGCCTACCCATCAACCTTTTATCCACCAATACATAATCTAATAAACTACTTTCATTACGTGCTACATCATACCTTGTATATTTATTTATCCTCTTTTTCATAAAATATGTATTACTTATTACCAAATTTCTTTCTACACATAGCTCAATTAAAGGCTCCCCATTTACATTTACCCCTGGCACCCCAAATTTATATACTACTCCTTCCATAACATTTTTTACCCACTTTGGCATTGAAATCCCCAACCACCATTACTCTCACACTTGATTCAAAACTCCCCACGCATTCACTCAACATTTCCCAAAATCTCTCTCTCTCCTCTACACTTCTCTCTTCTCCAGGTGCATACACGCTTATTATAACCCACTTTTCACATCCAATCTTTATTTTACTCCACATAATCCTTGAATTAATACATTTATAGTCCCTCTTTTCCTGCCATAGCTTATCCTTCAACATTATTGCTACTCCTTCTTTAGCTCTAACTCTATTTGAAACCCCTGACCTAATCCCACTTATTCCTCTCCACTGAAACTCTCCCACCCCCTTCAGCTTTGTTTCACTTAAAGCCAGGACATCCAGCTTCTTCTCATTCATAACATCCACAATCATCTCTTTCTTATCATCTGCACAACATCCACGCACATTCAGACTTCCCACTTTGACAATTTTCTTCTTCTTATTCTTTTTAGTAATCTTTACAGGAAAAGGGGTTACTAGCCCATTGTTCCTGGCATTTTAGTTGACTTTTACAACACGCATGGCTTACGGAGGAAAGATTCTTATTCCACTTCCCCATGGATATAAAAGGAAAATTAATAAGACCAAGAACTATTAAGATAAAATCAAAGAAAGCTCAGATGAGTGTGTATAAATAAATGTGTACATGTATGTGTAGTGTGACCTAAGTGTAAGTAGAAGTAGCAAGACATGCCTGTAATCTTGCATATTTATGAGACAGACAAAAGACATCAGCAATCCTACCATCATGTAAAACAATCACAGGCTTCGTTTTACACTCACTTGGCAGGACGGTAGTACCTCCCTGGGTGGTTGCTGTCTACCAACCTACTACCTACTACCTATATTTGAAACTACCCAAGGTTTTAGCTTCAATAACCCAACTAGGTAGACTGTTCTACTCATCAACTACCCTATTTCCAAACCAATACTTTCCTACATGTTGTTAGGTAAGACACATATGCAACAGTTAGGTATCTTTATTTCGAAACGTTTCGCCTACACAGTAGGCTTCTTCAGTCGAGTACAGAAAAGTGGATAGAAGCAGAAGAGACTTGAAGACGTAATCAGTCTATCACCCTTGAAGTTTTGAGGTGGTCAGTCCCTCAGTCTGGAGAAGAGTATTGTTCCATAGTCTGAAACAATGTGCATACTTACTTTACCACTTGTTTCTACAGGGATAAAGCTCATGTATTTAGTCTATCATAAAAATATTAATTATCAATGATTTTTGCATTTACTACCCTCTCTTGTAATCTATTCCACTGATCTGCCACTCTTTTTGTGAAGAATTTATTTGTAGTAGCTTTTGGGCAACTTTTTGTGTTGTTGTTGTTGTTTTTGCATCTTCCTCTCCCTGTCAATGGTTAGGAAATCTTTTTTCAATTCTTTTGTACCTTCCTTATAATATTAAATGATCATTATGTCTATGCTTCTTCCTATCAGCCAGTAACCAGGGCTGTGGAGTCAGAGTTGGAAGCAATTCTTGGGCTACTGGAGTCGGAGTTGGTAAAAATGTACCAACTCTGACTTCTAATAAATTTTTTTTTTTTTTTAACAAGTCGGCCATCTCCCACCAAGGCAGGGTGACCCAAAAAGAAAGAAAATCCCCAAAAAAGAAAATACTTTCATTATCATTCAACACTTTCACCTCACTCACACATAATCACTGTTTTTGCAGAGGTGCTCAGAATACAACAGTTTAGAAGTATATACGTATAAAGATACACAACATATCCCCCCAAACTGCCAATATCCCAAAACCCCTCTTTTAACCCTTTCAGGGTCCGTCCCGTAGATCTACGGCTTTACGGTGAGTGTCCAAACCGTAGATCTACGCCATGAGCTCAGCTCACTCTGATAAACTGTGAGTGGTACATTTGGGCCTAGACATGAGAGAATACATCTATGTGGTATGTGTGCACCACATAAAACAGATCCTGCAGCACACTGTATAATGAGAGAAAAAACTGAAATCATTATTTTTCGATTAAAACAGCAACTTTGCAGTGTTTTTTCGTATGTTTTTTATAGTTGTATTTGCGATTTCTTGGTCTCATTTGATAGAATGGAAGACATATTACAGAAATAGAGATGATTTTGATTGGTTTTAGCACTGGAAATGGCTTGAAACTGAGCTCAAAGTAGCGGAAATGTTAAATTTTTGCCGATATTCAAGAGTAAACAAACGACCTCTCACGTCTAGTACACGCCAGCTGGTGGGTCTAATATACATTCACAAATATGGTGATGATATTTATACAATTATTACAGTATTGCATAACAGTAAATCTTCTATTTTTTGGTGTGAATAAAAAATTCATTATGTGAATAAAAAATCAAAATGAATTTATTTGTAAAGCCTCAAAACATAACTAATGAACAGAGAAATGTTAGTTTAGTGCCAGGAATGCCTACATGTTTATTCTGGACCCTATTTTGAAATTGGAATATTTTGAACTTTGTGTTAAATTGGCCAAAATTAACAATTTCCGATCACTTTATTTTGTAGTTGAAACAGTTGACTTGGCGATTTCTTGTGCTCAATCGATAGAATAGAAGTAATACTAGTGAAATAGCTAAGAATTTGGTTGATTGGAATAATGTAATTGGCCTAAAATGGGAGTCAAAGTCGGCAAAATCGCCGATTCGTAAATATCGCTGACACATCAAAATTCTCGAGAGCATAATTTCGTCAATTTTCCACCAAATTTTGTACTTTTTGTTTTATTACCTTCACAAAAAGATTCTCTACGATTTCATAAGAAAAAATAAAAAATTTTTTTTTTGAAAATTCTTGGACACTGGTGCGTGACTCCAGATTTGGGCCTTGGACCCTGAAAGGGTTAAAGTGCAGGCATTGTACTTCCCATTTCCAGGACTCAAGTCTGGCTATATAAAATAACCAGTTTCCCTGAATTCCTTCACTAAATATTACCCTGCTCACACTCCAACAGCTCGTCAGGTCCCAAATATCATTCGTCTCCATTCACTCCTATCTAACACCCTCACGCACGCTTGCTGGAAGTCCAAGCCCCTCGCCCACACGACCTCCTTTACCCCCTCCCTCCAACCCTTTCGAGGACGACCCCTTCCCCGCCTTCCTTCCCCTACAGATTTATACGCTCTCCATGTCATTCTACTTTGATCCATTCTTTCTAAATGACCAAACCACCTCAACAACCCCTCTTCAGCCCTCTGACTAATACTTTTATTAACTCCACACCTTCTCCTAATTTCCACACTCCGAATTTTCTGCATAATACGTATTTACATCACACATTGCCCTTAAACACAACATCTCCACTGCCTCCAACCGCCTCCTCGCTGCAGCATTTACAACCCAAGCTTCACACCCATATAAGAGTGTTGGTATCACCATACTTTCATACATTCCCCTTCTTTGCCTCCATAGATAAAGTTCTTTGTCTCCACATATACCTCAATGCACCACTCACCTTTTTTCCCCTCATCAATTCTATGATTAACCTCATCCTTCATAAATCCATCTGCTGATACAACTCCCAAATATCTGAAAACATTCACTTCTTCCATACTCCTCTTCCCCAATTTGATATCCAATTGGATATCAAATCATTTGATACCCTCATCACCTTACTCTTTTCTATGTTCACTTTCAACTTTCTACCTTTACACACACTCCCAAATTCATCCACTAGCCTCTGCAAATTTTCTTTAGAATCACCCATAAGTATAGCATCATCCACAGAAAGTAACTGTGTCACTTCCCATTTTGTACAGAATATTAATAATATAATATAGTAAAATTTCCTATTTCATAGAAAATAATTTAATTAACAAATTATTTTCAGGATGTATTTTAATTTCAAGTTCCCGCAAATTTGAAAATATTACATAAAGTGGTACCTCGAGTTACGAACTTAATTCGTTCCAGAACGCTGTTTGAGTGTCAATACCGAATGAATTTGTTCCCATAAGGAATAATGTAAATTAGATTAGTCCGTTTCAGACCCCCCAAAAATACACTTACAAAAGCATTTACAAAAATACACTTACATAATTGTTCGAGTTGGGAGCTGTACAAAACTCAGGGTACCACTATATTTCAAGATATAAAAAAAAGTGAAAGTGGCAGCCTATGAAGAAAATACACAATGGCCTAAAGAGTGTCAACAATGTCGGCTGTTTTTGAACATTTTACAATAACAACAGATGAGAAACATTGTGTGTCAATATATTATAAAAGGTGATTATTCTGAAAAAAAAAAATGTAATGCAAAAATTAGTAGTTTTAGTGGTTGTGATATCAGCATTTCTGCAAGTGGCAGGACTCCATGTTGCTGTCATGTGAGCATCCAGTGCCAGCTTTACAACCTTATATGTTGCTAAGTACTGACCCTAAAAATTTTTGTTGGTATTATTACACACAGAAAATTAACCTCTTTTTTTTACAATTTTTTTTTTAATTTATGTAATTTAGGGTGTGTAGGGGAGATGGAGATTATTTTCCAGTAAAAGTAGGCCTTAGACAGGGATGTGTAATGTCACCATGGTTGTTTAACATATTTATAGATAGGGTTGTAAAAGAAGTAAATACTAGGGCAGGGGTGGGCAACCTTTTTAAGTGCGTGTGCGAAAGTCGGCTATATCTTTGATACAAAATCTATGGGAACATATAGGGACTATTTCCCCACTTTTCTTGGAATGAATATGTAATAAATGTCGTTTTTTTTTTGTTTCTTGTTTTTTTGAGATGAGTCCAGAGGTTAGCATGCCGGAAAGAAGTCATTGGCATGCCGGGTTTGGCATGTGTGCTAAGGGTTCCCCACCCCTGTGCTAGGGTGTTTGGGAGAGGGGTGGGACTAAATTATGGAGAATCAAATAAAAATAGGAGTTGACACAAATACTTTTTTGCTGATGATACTGTGTTTTTGGAAGAATCTAAAGAGAAGTTGCAAAGGTTAGTGGACGAGTTTGGGAGGGTATGTCAAGGAAGAAAGTTGAAAGTGAACATAGATAAGAGTAAGGTGATTAGAGTATCAAAGAAAAATTGGATATCACATTGGAGAGAGGGAGTATGGAAGAAGTGAATGTGTTCAGAAATTTGGGAGTAGACGTATCAGTAGATGGGTTTATGAAACACAAGGTTAACCATAGAATTGATGAAGGAAAAAAGCTAAGTGGTGCATTGAGTGTCTGTGGAGGCAAAAAACGTTATCCATGGAGGCAAAGAAGGGAATGTACGAGAGTATAGTGGTACCAACACTCTTATATGGGTGTGAAGCATGGGTTGCGAATGCTGCAGCAAGGAGGAAGCCAGAGTAAAACTTATGAAGGAAAAAAGTGGGTGGTGCATCGAGGTGTCTGTGAAGACGAAAAACGTCATCCATGGAGGCAAAGAAGGAAATGTACGAGAGTATAGTGGTACCAATACTCTTATATGGTGGTGAAGCATGGGTTGTGAATGCTGCAGCGAGGAGGAGGCTGGAGGCAGTGGAGATGGTGTGTCTAAGGGCAATCTGTGGTGTATATATTATGCAGAGAATTCGTAGTGTAGAAATTAGGAGGTGTGGAGTTACAAAAAGTATTGTTTAGAGGGTTGAAGAAGGGTTATGGAGGTGGTCTGGTCATTTAGAGTGGATGGAGCAAAATAGAATGACTTGAAGGGTGTATAAACCTGTAGTGGAGGGAAGGAGGGGTAGGAGTCATCCTTTTAAAGGATGGAGGGAAGGTGTTAAAAGTTTTGTGTGCAAGGGGCCTGGACATGCAGTAGGCATGTGTGAACGTGTTAGATAGGAGTGAATGGAGACAAATGGATTTTGGGACCTGATGAGCTGTTGGAGTATGAGCAGGGTAATATTTTGTGTAGGGATTCAGGGATACCAGTAGCTGAACTTGAGTCCTGGAGGTGGGAAGTACAATGCCTGCACTTTAAAGGAGGGGCTTGGGATATTGGCTGTTTGGAGTGACATCTAAACTGTCATATCTGGGCACCTCTGTAAAAACTGTGATTGTCTGAATGATGGTGAAAGCGTTTCTTTTTTGGGTCACCTTGCCTCGGTGGGAAACAGCCGGTTTGTTGAAAGAAGAAGAATATACATATAGTATATACAAACCATTTGGTTTGGTCTGTTCATTTTCTCATATACTGTACTGCATATTCATATTCTAAATTACAGAATAAACAATGATTTTTTAAGAGATCTCAGAGATTAATTAACAAAACACTTAATAATGAACTTTAATCCATCTAACTAAAATATACATTTTTCCTAAGTAACTAATTTCAATGATTGGTAAATGAGAGGTTCAAACTCAACAGGTGTAATTTATTAAATTATTAAATTCTGAGAGAAAACTTGATACTATATAGCAGTTGTAATATATAACAATTAGTAATAGATTTTCCTTCTAACAAAAATATATCACTCATCTGTGTCTGTAAATCAGGACAATTTATCTTTATTTGCCAATAATGCAAAGATGAACAGCTTTGTCAGAACTGACAACTTCCCCTGCTCTCTTTGATCCTAAAACTCCAATCAGCTTAGTGAGGTCTGTCCGCTGGAAAAGAGCTGTCACAGTACTGGCTCCTAGGTACTTCTGACGAACCCGAGGGTTCTGCTTTCCTTCCTGTTTTGAATATGGTAAACAGAAGAAGACATATAAGTAACAAAAGTAAAATGTTTTCCCTAACATGTCAAAATTAAAGTAGATGAAATACGCAACATGCAGGTTCCTTGTCAATACTGTATTTAACATTTTTCCATTCAACAATACTCTCCCAGTACCTCACACAATACTCTCCCAGTACCTCACACAATACTCTTCCAGCACCTCACACAATACTCTCCTAGCACTTCACACAATACTCTTCCAGCACCTCACACAATACTCTCCTAGCACCTCACAATACTTTCCCAGTACCTCACACAATACTCCCTCAGCACCTCAAACGACACTCTCTTGGTACCTCACACAATACTCCCCCAGCACCTCACACAATATTCCATTCTTAATATTTCAAGTCCTACCCCATGATTCACTTTTGTTAGCAAACATTAAAACATTTGTTGCCTTTACTAATCACAATAATTAATGTGCATGTCAATTGTGAAGAGTATTATGAAGTTAGCAGAGAGATGTCTTCTTGTACCAAGAACTGGAACTGACTGACACTTTCACAAAGCCTGCTGGCCCTGGGCACCTTGTGTTTTATTGGCTTATTAACAAAAAAGATTCAAAACATAACTGCACATTGGATGGTGAGATACATGAAGTTTATATATTAAAAAGTATTTTATTTTTTCAAAACATTACATATACTGTACACTTAACAAACATTATCTCTCAGTCCATAGAATGATTTGAACCTATATGCTCTGTATCAAAATACACAGTACTTTCTCTACTCAGCCAGTGGAGAAAGTACTGTGTACTTTGATACAGTATGTGCAGGTTCAAATCCTGCTGTGGACTGAGAATGTGCAGGTTCAAATTCTGCTGTGGACTGAGAGATAATGTTTGTTAAAAATTCACTTTTTTGCAAATTGTTAAGCATATACTGTAGTACATATTTTGAAAAACCCATAGTATGCATAACATTTTGGAAAAGTTAGTAAGAGCGAAACTAAATTATACTCCAAAAGAGAACAGAGATGAGCTTGTGTCAAGCATAAGGTACTGACAGATAGTAAAATTAATAGTTAAAAAGCTAGTCATAAAATCGTCCAACACAAACTGAGATACAAGTTAATTAATCTGGTTAGCTATTCCAAAATTTTGGTATTATGATATCTTATGAATGCATTAACTACGTATACAGCAGTTCTTAAAAAACAACAATAATAGGCTAATTAACCTTAACAGTTTTTAAAATAAATAACCATAATAGGAAAAATGAGCAAGGGGCTAGTAACCCATTCTCCTGTATAAATTACTAAATTTAAACAGAAAAACTTTCATTTTTCTTTTTAGATCACCCTGCTTTGGTGGGATATGGCCGGTTCATTGAAAATAAAATAGAAAAAGTAAATTTCAACATAGTAAAGCAACAATCCATATTAGCTCCAGCCATCCCACAATAATTAGAAAAAATATTAAATGAATTTTACATGTAAATACTAGCTCAAAATAACATGTCTTACCACCATGAGGTTGCAAATCTCTGAGAAGAAGTGTGGGTAGGTTGGTACGTCGTAGAATATAATGTGTTTAATTCCTTTAATTTGATAACGCCGGTAGAAGTGAAATCTTTCAGTGTACAGCAGGAAATGACGTCTACCATCGAAGAACAGGCTACGAGCTTTGGCAACTTTGCTGTTTTGCTGAGAGTGAGAAAACAGCTAAAGTTTTGGGTTTCTGCAGCATAATAATTATAATAATAATAATAATAATAATAATAATAAAGTTTGAAGAAAACAGATATAATACAATAGATCACTAATTATCCCAAAATTGGTTATTCACCTTCAAACATCATCAAGTGGTCCTGCTCAATGTGGTCCCTAAACACATTATAAAACATGAATACACAAAACAATGGGACCATAAAAATTTAATGTGATCATTGGGTTTGTGAAAATCCTATACAGGTCTCCCTCAACATTCGCGAGGGTTAGGGGATCAAGAGCCTCGCGAATGTTGAAAAACCGTGAATGTTTGGTGCCCCAATATATTGTAGGGAAATATATTACAATACTGCTTCCTTAACTTGTTGAACCATGAATAATCATAAAATACATGAAAACGTCGTAAATTGTACTAAATATATACATGTTATGCTTTAATAACGTATGTTATTTAATAACATGTATGTTAATAACATGTATGTTATTAAATACCAGACTCCACTACTGCCTCCACCACTGCCTCCACCACTGCCTCCACCACTGCGAGTCCCTACTACCCTCCCTCCGACCCCCGCAACGGGCAGCCAGCCCTCCCACCACTCAGTGTGGTGAGTTTTTTGTTTGTTCATTATTTGCTATTAAACTACAGAATAAAAAATGTAAACCCATTCATGACTGCATTTTGGGAAGGGCTATTAGGAAAGGTATTAGACGGTGACATCATGTGTTTACTCTTGAACACAGCAAAGAATCGAACATTTCTGCTATTGCTAATAATAACAATAGTAATAATAATAATAATAAAAACATATAATTAAAGAAGGAAATTGGTACAAAAATACGGGGGAGGGGTTGACACAATGTCATGTGACTTTGTTTAATGCTGGAGTGAACATTAGTCTCCCGCTCTTCCAAACATTTCACAATAATTCGGGCGGTTGAGGCAGGGGTATTTAATAACATATATTTTATAAATATAATAGTATATGTTATTATTAATAACATCATTATTATTAACATGTATGTATTTAATAACATATATGTTATAAAAAAATAGTACATATTATTAATAACATGTATTATTAATTAACATGAAGTTTTTAAATACCATTGCCTCAATCACTGCCTCTACCACTTCAGTCACACCAATCTACAAGCACCAAACACAATGAATTATTGTGAAATTTTTTGGAAGAGCAGGGAGACTAATGTTCACTCCAGCATAAACAAATCACACTTGACGATGTGTCAACCACTCCCTCGTATTTTTGTACAATTTCCTTCTTCAATTATATCACATTTATTATTATTATTATTATTATTATTATTATTATTATTATTATTATTACTATTGTTATTATTAGCTGAAGCAGAAATGTTTAATTCTTTGCAGTTTTTCAAGAGTAAACACATGATGTCACCGTCTAATACCTGTCCAAATAGCCATTCCAATATGCAGTCATGAATGGGTTTACATTATTTATACTGTAGCTTAATATCAAATAATGAACAAACAAAACACTCACCACACTGAGTGGTGGGAGGGCTGGCTGCCAGTTGAGGGGGTCGGAGGGAGGGTAGTAGGGACTCGCAGGTGGCGGGAAACTTAAACATGATTTGGCGGCTGGGAATTTAGTGGCTGGGAATTTGGCGGTTGGGAATTCGCGAATGTGTGAAGCCCGTTAAAGTTGAAAACGTGAATGTTGAGGGAGACCTGTACACCATTCTCTTCCCCCTCCCTCCAAAGTGGTTGGACATTCTATTATATTTCAAATAAGGTTTTCCAAAATCTGAAATACGTATACACGACTTCCAATGGAGCTATTTTACTGTAAAGTGATTAAGAAATTGCAATAAAAATTTTGAGAGTGAACTACAACTTTTTACATTTCACACCATAAAATGTGAAGGAACTTCACAATTTATGGTGTGAAATTAGCAAAGTTATGTGAAAAATTTCAGGTAATCACTAACCTTACTGAGATGTGGCAATCTTCAATACACACTTGCAGTGCATGTGTGATACAGACTACCCACACATTTACTGAAAGAACACTGACCAACTGTATAGACAATGAGAATTGACCAACGTACAATTTTGGACAGTGAAAAGACAAAGCCGGGCAACTGGTAGTTATATAAACTATAATTGCTGAAAAGAATCCCAAAAAAGTTAATACAGCTAAATAAGACTTGAAGTTACTAAAAGTTAGACAGGAGAAAAAAAAAAGCTTGATTTCCAGAAAATAAGGCACAAAGCCCTAACTACTATACAACGTGAAAGAGAGGGGAAGGAGAGCTTTGCAACAGTGTATTTAGTTCTGGATTGTCGAAATTTTAACCCCTTTTTAACTGTTAAACCATAGTCTATTCATCTCTGTTTAGCGTTCTAAAATTTTTGATTTTTTTTTAAAAAAAAAAAAGGGGAATTTTTTTCTGTAGTAAAAAACCCAAAAGAATTTTTTCAGGACAAACTTTATCAAGTGGGAGTAGTTGGTAGACAGCAACCCCCCAGAGAGATACACCTGCGCCCTCCCCAAGGAGGTAAAACAAAACCCTGTAATTGTTTTACATAAAGGAGGATTGCTGGTGTCTTTTGTCTGTCTCATAAATATCAAATTACACTACATCCTGCTACTTCACTTACACTTAGGTCACACTACCATACATGAAAAACGTTATTTTATACACACCATCTGATTTTTTTTTCGATTTTATCTTAATTCTTATTCTTTTTACTCTTCCTTTTATTCCATGGGAAGTGGAATAAAATCTTTCCCCCCATAACCCAGTGTGTTGTAAAACTCAATTAAAATGGGGGGAACAAGGCTATAACCCCTTTTCCTGAATGATTACTAAAAAGAATAAAAAAAAACTGCAAAGGGGGATGTCAATGTGCATGCTGTTGCGCGAATGATAAGAAAGAGATGTTGTGGTTTTTATGAATGAAAGAAGCTGGGTTCCCCGGCTTTTAAATGAAACAAACTGAAGGGGGTGGGGGAGTTTCAGTGGGAAAATAAATGGGGTAGGTCAGGGTTTTTAAAAAAATTTGACTAAAGAAGGAGTAGAATAATGTTGAAGGATAAGCAGGCAGGGAAAAAAGGGAGATAAATGTAAAAAATTCAAGGATTATTGGAGTAAAATACAGGGTTTGGGGGAAAAGTAGGTTATAGTAAAGGGATATCACCTGGAGAAGAAAAGGTAAGGAGAGAGAGAGATTTTTGGGGAAAGTTTTAGTGAATCACGGGAGTTTTTTTAACCCGTGTGAAAGTACTTGTGGTTGGGGATTTCAATGCTAAAATGGGTAAAAATATTTTGGGGAAAAGTATAAAAAATTTGGGGGCCAGGGGGAACAAAAATGGGGGCCCTTTAATTGAGCTATATGCAGAAAGAGGTTTGGTATAGAATCAATTTTACGAAAAAAGGATAAATAAATATACAAGGGATATATAGCACGTAATAAAGTAGTTTGGTAATTATGTATTGGTGGGTAAAAAAGGGTTTATGGTAGGCCCGGATGTAAAATGTTTTTCAGAAGGGCAATGATATATTTTTTCATTATTTGTATGCAGCTACATTTTGAGTAAGAGTGAAAGGGACAAGAGGAAAATGGCAACAAGTAAGAGAAAAGGTGAAATGTATAAACTAAGGGAGGAGGAAATTTAGGTGAGATATAACAACTTTTGGGAGGGAAAGGTGGGCATGCAATAGAGAGTGGGGTTTAGAAGAGGGTGGAACAGTTTTAAAAAAGCGGGAATGAAATTGGGCAAAGTTTGCTTTTTAAGGGGGGTGGGTACAGGAGGGAAAAAGGGTGATTGGTGGAATGATGAAAAAAGTTGTAATAAAAGAAAAAAGGTACTTATGAAGGTTTTTTACAAAGCAAAGTGTTATAAAAGAGCAAGTATATGGGGAATAAAAAAAGGGAAGGATTTGTGAGAAAGTGCAAAAGGAATAAGATAGAGGGGGAAAACAATGTCAAGAAATTTTAATGAAAAAAAGAAAAAATTTTCAATATTTAAACTAGTTAAGAAAGCCTAGGGAACAAATGGATTTGTCAGTTAAAGACAGAGTAGGGGACTTAGTAGATGGGGAGGTGGAGATATTGGGTAGATGGCGTGAATATTTTGAGGAACTTTTAAATGTCCACGAAGAAAGGGAGGCAGTAATTTCATGCATTGGTCAGGGAGGTATACCATCTTTAAGGAGTGAAAAAGAGCAGGATGTGAGTGTGGGGGAGGTGTGTGAGGCATTAGAATGAAAGGGGGTAAAACAGCTGGAACTGATTGGATCAGGACAGAAACGTTAAAAGCAGGCGGGGATATAGTGTTAGAGTGGCTGGTTTTTTTTTTTTTTTTTTCAACAAGTCGGCCGTCTCCCACCGAGGCAGGGTGACCCAAAAAAGAAAGAAAATCCCCAAAAAGAAAATACTTTCACCATCATTCAACACTTTCACCACACTCACACATTATCACTGTTTTTGCAGAGGTGCTCAGAATACAACAGTTAAGAAGCATATACGTATAAAGATACACAACATATTCCTCCAAACTGCCAATATCCCAAAACCCCTCCTTTAAAGTGCAAGCATTGTACTTCCTATTTCCAGGACTCAAGTCCGAATATATGAAAATAACCGGTTTCCCTGAATCCCTTCACTAAATATTACCCTGCTCACACTCCAACAGATCGTCAGGTCCCACGTACCATTCGTCTCCATTCACTCCTATCTAACACGCTCATGCACGCTTGCTGGAAGTCCAAGCCCCTTGCCCACAAAACCTCCTTTACCCCCTCTTTCCAACCCTTTTGAGGACGACCCCTACCCCTCCTTCCTTTCCCTATAGATTTATATGCTTTCCATGTCATTCTACTTTGATCCATTCTCTCTAAATGACCAAACCACCTCAACAACCCCTCTTCTGCCCTCTGATTAATACTTTTATTAACTCCACACCTTCTCCTAATTTCCACACTCT